GTCAGTATTTTCTTATTTGCGAAACAAACAACAGAGACGGGGCAGTGTGTCACGCAGAACCTTTAAGTAAGACGGACGTTTTTAAGTAGATTATGAGCGGCTCTGTGAGGTCGGTCGCTGCCTGGAGGAGCAGATTCCCAGAGACAAAGTGCCATGACAGCGGCCTGTAAGAGACAAATTGGATTTCACCAAATTCTCTCACGCTGGCGCCGGGCAATTTGTCTGTGTGGCTCGAGCCTTCAGGTCCCCGCAGCCAAAACTGTGCGGAAGCAAAGGTATCCATAGCAACAGGCTCCCAGCGGCCCCCCGTGCCCAAGGTTACGCTCTATCACCGAGCGGAGCAGCTGGGGGGATGCGGCAGACCCCACTGTACGCAGAACGCGTGAGAGCAGAGGCTTGGGATAGTCTGCCCTGTGTAATTAGCCAATCAGACGGGCTGTTTGCTGGCTGGCGCCCACACTGGAAAGTGCAGCTTGTCACATTTCCTGATTATGGTAACAAAGCGTCATTGTGACTCGCAGGCAGGCAGAACACAGGACACCTTTATCTGCAGGTCCTGGGGGTGCGGGGGCTTTGTTTGAGCCACTTCCTGCCCCCCTACATAACGGTGGCGTCCCGTTTCACTGACGCCACCCCTCCAGGCTGGAAGAGCGTCTGCTCACACTCCGCATCCCTGAAATAGGTGGTCGACGCCGGCCGATGTGACACATGTGCCTGTTTTAAGGGGTTTTTAGAACCTCAACCCTGCTGGCTGGGAAGATTTAACTGACCCGGATTGGTCCTGGAGCGGCAAGACTACGACGCGCTCAGCTTCAGAATTGTCACCTTTGTACCCATTACAAACGGCCCCCGTTTCCAGGCAACGCAGCTCTGGCGTTTTTCTGTGGGAAGTTCAGCAAAGAGGACAGAAAGTGGTCAAGGAAAACAGCCCGATAGAGTCTCTCTACGCCACCTTTCTGCTCTTAGAAACACGGAGGACTTTGTTCCCAGATGGTGATAATGCATCTGCTAGCCACTAGCCGCCATCTTCCTGAGGCAGGGTGGTCGATAGAAGCTCCCCCAAGCTTCACTTCAGAGTGCTTCTCTGCCTTGCTCCCGCCCTCAGCCTCCCATCCCTCCCATCCTCCGTCAGTGTTTACCAGCATTTACAGACGAAGAAGAAAGAAAACAAGGCCCTCTCAGCCACAGTTACAGGGGGAATAATCCCCCCGCGCGGAGCCGCCGTACGTGTCGATGGAATGCGAGGACAGGAAGGGATTTGACAGGAATGTGGAAGCACATTCCCTCCCGCCTCAGCAAAGCTGGGCATAAATACATATCAGCTGCATCAGCCCATCTGAAAGGGGCAATAGCTGGATCTGGGCTGAGCGGGGGCGAGGGGGCAGGGCCATGTGCATTAAGATGAATGGGTCTTTAACGAGTCATTCAGATAAGACAGAAATCCCACTTTGGCTGGAGCTGGTTGACTCTAAAATGTTATCTGACGCCCCAGAAGCCTGCTGCTGCAGGTAGGAGTGAAAAGGAGCACGGAAGCCGCTTTCCCAGAGAAGCTGCTCGGTAAGAGAAGTCGTAGCTCTCTGTGGCGTGGAGAACGGGAAGTCGTTGTTGTAAACTGTGTTTTTGTAAGGAAGTTGGGGAAACTGAGCTGACAGGGCTGCTGGTTTAGAGGCCAACCCCGAGCAGACTTTCCAGACCCTCGGGGGGGGGGGAGGGGGTCCCACAGCCCTGAGACGAACCACGGCGCACAGTTCCAGGTGACGTGTGAGGGGGCGCCGTTGAGCTCCCCAGCCCAACCTGGGAAACTAGGGCTGGGCGATATCATATCGATGTTATATCACACATGAGCAATAATCGCCAGGACTTCAGATGACAGGCAAAACATTTGGCCGGACGCCAGCTTTTTGGTAGTATATCAACGTTTTTTTAAGCCCACAATTTGCTAAGCAGATTAGTACTATGCCTAAAATATTAATGAGGCATTTTATAATGCTCAAAGCTTAGTAATCAGTATAAATTCAGCATATCCTTATATTTAATGAACTTGGACTTTAAACTGCAAAAAGTACCGCCACATAACCGCCACAAACTTTAACTTGTTTATCCACAAGATCTCGTCTTTTAAAAGATGTCGTGGCTGCTGAGCTGTTCCTTTCTTCACCACCAATTCAGTTCATATCGCACTGAAGTACACCAAACTATAGTATACTAAATCAGTGTTATGAGGTGTGCCCCGCTACAGTGCATGTCACACTGAAGTATACCAAACTGTAGTATACTAAAACAGTGTTATGAGGTGTGCCCCGCTACAGTGCATGTCACACTGAAGTATACCAAACTGTAGTATACCAAAACAGTGTTATGAGGTGTGCCCCGCTACAGTGCATGTCACACTGAAGTATACCCAACTATAGTATACCAAAACAGTGTAATGCGGTGTGCCCCACTACAGTGCATAGCACACTGAAGTATATCAAACCATAGTATATATAAAAAAAAAAAACATTATGTGGTGATTCGCTAATCGAATTTAATAAACATAAAGATATGCCATGTTTATACAGATAGGTGTCACAAAACTCATCTCATTAATATTTTAGGTGCACTGCTAATCTGCTTAAATTCTGGGCGTAAATAAATGTCCATATAGTATAGAAAAGCTGGCGTCCGGCCAAATGCTTCGCCTGTCATGTGAAACCCTGGTGATCATTGGTCATGTGCGATATAATATCAATATGACATCGGCCAGCCCGACAGAGAACGCTAGAACCTGAGAGCCTCGGTGATACGGAGCCGTGCACCGAGCCCCGCAGTCCCGCACGGCGGGGGCCAGTAAAGGTCCAGTCAGAGACAATTACAGAAATATTTAGCATAAAGAAAAAGCTTCTTAAACAGAGGGGCGACAAAGGGCAGATAAGAAGTGCAGGAACAGCTTAGGAGGGGGTGTGGGGGGGGGGCGCTGGGGCAGGACAGTGGCTCTTTTGTTTCAGACCCACAGCTGGTCAGGTGTCATGGAGCATGGAGAATGAATGATTCTGGTTGGTTCAGTTGGGCCTGAAGACTCAGGCTTGGCTCGCCACCCCCCTCCCGATTCTCTCTCTCTATCTCCGGACCCCCATCCAGTTGTCAGAGACGCAGATGTTTGCTGCGTTAGCATATCGGTACTTCGCTCCCAGCTGGCCCAAATGGGATCCAGGTGCAGAGATTTGTGGGGCTTAACCACAAGGGACTCACCGCGTGCCAGGAGTCCGGCTCCGGCACGTCAGCAGGGACCCAAGCTGAGGATCCCTGAAGACGCTTCAGAAAGAACTGGGCCCTCACCAGCAACGTCAAGGTGGACTGGTGGGCTGGCTTTCAGAATTCTTCAGGCTAGATGTATTCATAAAAATTCAAAATATATGATTTATTTTTTCTTATCTAAGTCACTTGTGAGCTTTTATTCTGTTTTCTAGGGTTAATGTTTGAGTCACCTGGGAATACTGGAATGGGACACTTTGCTGTCCTGAAACAGACAGAGCAACCTGGCAGGTTTTTAAGTCCTGCTGCTGATCTCTATGAAAGTCATGATATTGTGTTTTTAAAGACATATTCACTTTAAAAAGGTCAAGTTGCATATCATCCGGCCTTACAAGCCTTGCGGGATCTTCTGCCATGAGACAGGGGGAGGGTTAGATATCGCGGTCCAGCTTTCTGGTGTTTCAGAGCCCAGGAAATCGAAACATATGGGCTCGATCGTGAGCAGTCTGAGTCTGTCCTCCGCTGAAGCGCTTTCTGGGCCTGCGGCTGGCAGGAGGTCAGCGTGACTTTGCTGCCACGGGATACGTGTGAGAGGGCTCTGCTGGGCGGAATGACGGACGGACAGGGAGGCAGGCAGGAGGTCCCAGAGCCAAAGGCAAGGGGGGAAGCTTTATAGATATAGCCGGATAGAAAGAGAGAGCAGCAGCTCAGTCGTCGTCAGATTCAGATGGACTCTCACCTGCCGCTCACCCCTGCGTGACTAGCACAGGTTGGGCCAGGTGGTGAGGGGGCCACTGAAGATCAGAAGAATGTTGCTCAAAAGATATAAGAGCAGCCAGCTGCCGCCAACTGCTCTTCTCCCTCAAACACCCTGACACAAACACCCCGGCTAAGCTAAATATGTTTACGGCATGAGGAAGTAACAGCACCGCTGGTGAGCATTTGCACGTCGGAGGAGGATCCGTCTGCCTCCCTTTTGTCCTGGCGGCCCTTTTACTGGGAGACCTTACATTCCTCTGGAGTGGCAGAGATACAGCCCAGCTATGCCTCTGCTGGCAGTGAAGCAGAGGTCTCTGTGGATCTTCTAGGGTGGGGGGCGATGCTGCCTCAGCCATAAACGTCTCAAACTGTTAATGAAACTGGGCTGGAGCTCCAGAGGACACCAAAAAAAGCGTAAAACAGTCACAGGTCCAGCTGATCTTTCAGCGCGCAGGACCCGACCAGCCCAGCGCTATGCCGGAATGTCCGCTGGACGCCGACACCATCCTGAAGGCCATAGTGGTTCTTGGGAATTCTGTTTGCTCTTGATGTAAAGCAGAGAACTCAGTGCCATACCTGCAGCCCCTAACCCATGTCTCGCAGGAAGAGCTCTTTATAGAGTATTGGAGCAACATTCGTCGTTGCTAAACCAGGCTGAACTGAAGGGGTTGAAACTGAGCTGCTGAATGCGTGTTTTAACCTCAGGCAAATTTAGGAAGTCCACACACACACCATAGCGCAAGGTTTCCCTGTAATTAATACGGAAAGACAAGCAGTGGCCTGTCGTCCACGTGAAAAAATCCAGCACCTGCCTTTTCTGCCAAGAGCTGCAGTAGGTTTTTGTGATTTGTCTCTCGTTACAGTTGCCAGTGTAGGGAATGCATTCTCCAACCCGCTGTTTAAGTAAAATGCGGAAAATAGCAGGTAGGGCACCTACAAGAATCACTTAGTGCTTAAAAAGAGTCGTGGTTTGGACAGACATCACTTGCTGGAAGGACAACACAAGGTTATGTTTAACAATATATATATTTAATTTCAATGTACATTCTGTTTTGACAAGGCTTTTAAAACTCTTCATCACAAACAAAAAAAAAGCAAAAATAAATACTATATAAAATAGAACTTCAAAATAAATATTTCTATAAAGGGAAATTGTGAGTTTCTTAAACATGACAAAAACTAATATAGATTATTTTCCTCAACATTTAAATGGCACAGAGAGTACATGAAGCCATCGGTGTGAAAGGAGGGTTAGGGGTAATATAACTATCGCTATCCACAGGATATGATCTCAGACAAGTATGGAAGGACCGTCAGATTCAGGCGATGTCTCCGTGGGAGCAAACTGTTCATTGGCCAGTTAATAAGACTACAGTTACAGTGGGACTTGTGGTTACACGTGTGTTTACCAGGCCAGGTGGGTAAAGAAGCAGCTCTTCATTACCAAAATGGATGAAGGCTCCTTTTCCTCATTGAAAGTCAGGGAATCTGGAATGTTCATCATTTTTTAAAATTAATTGTCAACTGGTCTTGGAATAGGGTGGATAAAAGTCAAGTTTGATGGAACCAAATGGAACTAAAGCGATTTGACGAGTCTGTGGGCTCAGAAAAAATGAGCGTAGCCCCATCTTTGCAATGAGGCACCAATTGCATGAGCGAGAGGTATTTTTAATGAACAAGAAAAGTATTCAAAGAAATCGGTGGTTGCTGCTGTGTCCTCCATCAAGCTCCCTGTTCTCAACCGTACTTAAGTACCACGTAGTTTTGTCCTACAGGACGGCAGCACAACATGTACAAGGAGACAGGTCCCCACGACTGCCACCACTGTCCATCTGCCATCTTCCTTAGGGGGACCCTGATGAGTGACAGCTGTTTGTGGGCTGAGCTTTCATCACCCACTTCTCCTTTGTCCCCCAGGGGTTTGCATATCTGCAGCTAATGCCAGGAAGTGTGACAGACGACTGAGGAACCTTCTGGAAGGTGGGGCAGAGAGGACAGCATCCGTGCATGAATGTAGGGATGCAGCATCCTGAGCTTTTCCGCTCAGTTTGAGTGCACAAAACAAGAGAGAAATAAAATTTTAAATAGCGCTCTATACTCCTTTGGCTAAAGCCCTGGAATACCATAATAATCACTAAAATAGATCTTATGGGAAAACTTTAAGTATTTACAATAAGACTATATCCTTTACAACATTAAGGGCAACAGCAGCACATCGCAGACTATACTCAAAATAGAAACGGCATGTGATGCATGGATTGGGAGATCAGTGACTGATGCTAACTGAGGTCCTGTGTAATACTGTCCCCGTGTTTACATGTAGGGTTTGCTTGATCATAAAGAAAGAAAACAACCGAAAAGGCTTGTGCAAGTCTTGCTACGTTTTTTTTTTTTCCCCTCTCCTTGAATCGGATGCTTGAAATCCATGAAAACAGCATTTTCCGCTGACATGTTGCAATTCTCATGTCCCCCCTTGGAATCGACGGGGAAGTGAACGCGTGTTATCTGCTCAGGAAGAGTAGCGGAGCAGCCCGCCCCGTGTGCTGGAAGTGAGTGAGATCTCCCTGAGCTCTTTCCCTACAGCCACCCGCGTTCCTGCTTTACCACACATTCTAGGTGCATTACGACTGAATGTCGCAGACATGCTGAACTGTGTTTTTAAATTGGAATCAGATATCCGTGTCTCATAGAACATTTTCTATGTTCGAATAAAGGCCAATAAACACTCCTACATTGTTCATGTGAAATTCAACTCCCTTCTGAAAGGGGAAGCTGGATTATCAGAACAACATTTGGACTGGGGGTGTATAGAGTGGACAAATGTTAATTGGTACCGTTTGTGTTGTCTGCTCGATGGAAGTGAGGCCAATCCCCAGCCAGCAGGCCAGCATGGCTGCTCTGTGCAAGGTCCTTTAACACATTTAGCTGAACTATGAAAACAACCGCATCTGCAGGCAGAGAGAGTGCAGCGTTGTGGAGAGAGCAGGGTGACAGACTGCAGGGACTTAGCCGTCGTCGCTAGGTTACTGCCGTCTTGGTCACATGTTGACCGTTGACCGCCATGCACTGTTGGAGGGCGTCTAGAGTTCAGTCATACGAGGAGAAGGTCAACAAACCCTCTTAAGTACCATAATCTCAGCTGCGGGCTTGATCTCCTCAGAGCCTCCGCAGCTGGGGCTGGCTGGGCCCGGCCTATCAGGAGAGCCGCTTGTCCACACCACCCCCCACGCCGTCCTCCTCGGTGCCCTTACAGACGGGCGGATGCTTGCAGCGGCACCCGGGCCGGCTGGCACGGTCGTAGCACTTCTGCGAGAGCTTGGCACAGCCAGTGGCTGGTGCATAGCAGAGCAGGCAGGGCAGCACCAAAGACAGGGACGCCATGAAGGTCCAGCGGACACAGCAGTGGGAGCCGGAGCAGGCGCAGGGTCTCTCGGCGCAGGATCCCTCGTCATCCTCGTCATCAGTGCAGTGGTAGAGGACGCCTTTGACGAGGCACATGCAGGTGGTGCCGTCCACCACGGTCTGGGCTGAGCACACGCACTCCTGGTTGCACACCCAGCAGGAGGGCAGCGTCCTGGGCAGGGTACACTCCGTGCAGCGACACCTGCCACAGTGGCGACAGGGCGGCGTGTGTCCATCCACGACCCCTGTGGCCTTGGGGGCCTGTGGGTTGGCGAGGCGGGGGGAGCCGGAGGCAGGCCCAGCTGTGGGCGGAGGCGCCGCGTGGTCCAGGAGCCTCTGATCAGAGGAGGTGCTGCCACTGCTGCAGCTGCTGATGGAGCCTGGCCGCCCCCCGAAGGAGATCCAGGGGTGCGTGACGTCACGGGGCTCACAGCGCGGCAGGCAGTCAGGCGGCGCCCGCGCCCCCTTCTGGCTGGGAGGCTGCCGTGACACCACCGCCGGACAGTCAATATAGTCGTTCTCAACGCGAGAGGATTTGATCTGGTCGATGGGGAAGATGGAGAGCGGGTGCTGCAGCCGTCCGTAGCCGTTCAGCAGGGGCTGCACCATGACGGAAGTGGAGACTCCGGGAATGTGGTGAGGGACCCTCGACTCCATGTGAGCATCTGCTAATCCTGCACGGAGACGACAGCTGCGTTACAATCCGCGTCGGAGACCCCAAAACACGGTGTACTGGGTCTAAAAATATCAGTCGACAACTCATTTTTAATGACAATCAAGATGTGCTTTTGATACTCATTAAGCTGTAGTAGTAGATATTGGTTTATCACCTCTCGATAATTTGCATTCAGTTGTTTTAGACACGTTAACCGAATCTTTATCTGCGCAAACAAAAATGAAGTCATAATAAACGCAATGGAATTAAAGCTTTATCCGATGTGGCATGTTCGTATTGGTCTTCTGTAGGAATAATATCCTCAATACACAGCGATTTAACAAGGACAGATCTGCCAAACGCCTGCCAAAGCTCCCCAGCCGCATACCGTCCGAGGCTGATCCACCGCAGGTGTCCGTGCTGCTGGCGCGTCTCCAGCGACTCCGGAACGGAAATTGTGTATTTTATTGCTTTTCAATAAAGTAAAAAAAATCGTTTTATACTACCTTAACCGGAATCCACCTTGGATTTCTGCTAACAGTTTGCATGGTAATAGTGCTTCAAATGTATAATTGGACCGCATTTTATCACCTTTACCAAATATCTTCCAGATGTGAAGTTCTGCCCATATTTATTGCCGTCTTAAATCCAGCAAGGATCATATCTTGATCTCTCGTTCTGATATTACTTTCCAAAGCTTACCTGAGTACATAATTATGCACGCAGATAACTATTTGGAGTCAATATTAATCGCTACAGGTCTGAAGCTTTAGTTAAATCATTGGTGATATCGCGGGTTATTGTATCACTCCAACAGACAAAATTTGCCGAAATTTCATTACAGTGCAAAAAGTATGCTTGACATTATACGTACAAACGTCACTGGACTCCATTAAATCTAGCATGTATTTATGCTGATTTTTGCTCTACAAAGACAACCAATTAGAATCTTGTTCCTTTCCTTATGGATGGACATACACACTCACACACATCTGCAGTTTGACATTTAACATGTAACAGCGGTCCTTCTGCAGTAAGTAGCCGCAGAAATAGACCAGAGATCTGGTCTCGTAAGCTATTCTCTGCTTGACAGTGAGACAGAAATGACGATATTACCCTACCCAGGCTTATAAAAAGACCCAGAGCCATTTAATATCGTCACAGGTGAACAGTGACCGCTGGACTGCACATTATGCTGGTACCGCGATTTCATAATGTGAGGTCTTATCTTATTGTTCTCCACGGTATTAAACCCACTGTAAGCTATCGCCCTTTAACATTTAGAAAATACGCATGCCCCCATTTTCCACGAAAGCCTACTTTTTCCAAACCCAGTGCACCGCACATGAAGTGAGATCCGTGCTTACGTCCATTTCCAGAGTATTGCAAAATAAAACGCTGGTATCTCTGACCAAATAAATGCGACTCGGTTGTAATCTGTGAATAACGAGAAAATACACAAAACATAAAACATAATACAGATCAGAGTGCGTACCTGAAGCAGGAAAATGCGCATTTCTTTTTCCGACCTGTTCAGATGCATAGGTACTCCAAAGCTATCGCTCCAGGTTAAAAACTCCAAAGTCTCCGCTGGCTTGAACCGTACTGCAGTACGGACACGAGCTGAAGCTGCGATGTTGCAACTGCTGGGGGAAATGGCTTTTATGAATGGGAGGGTGGTGGTCGCACTGCGCAGATGCGCTGGGAATTTTTTTATGAATGGGCGGGCATAGCGTTTCAGATCGAGATTATCGTTTTATGAATGGGAGGAATCGGCACGCTACTGCGCAAGCGCCATGTCCAAAATTCATGAATGGAAGGATCGGGGTGTTTTCTTCTGAAGGGCAGCGTTAGAGAGGATTACATGAATGGATGAGCATGTACCTCACGCAACGTTTCCTCTTTATATATGCCTCTGCAGATTGAATTATTTCGGCAGGAGCTTTTGCCCTGAAAACATGATTTCCATGGGGATTTCGTTTGCACTTTTTATTTTACTGACATGACTGATGGACGAAATACACAAAGACAAAAGCAGCGGCGCATAAATTATTTAAAATGACCGCTTCGGAATCGTCCAGCAGGCCCGAAAGCCGTTGTAGTCGGCGAGTTTCGATGTGATATTTCCGTTTCGACTTATACTCCTGATTTGTAATTTCAATACTGTTGTGTATAATATAAAAGTAAAAGCAAACCCTTTTACATTCCTGAAACAAACGTTGTAGCAGACGAAAAGAACGGATTAGTTTGAGAGCTTTCATACTTCAAACTCAACCAAAACCACCATAAAAGCGTATGTAACTTGGCGGCCCGCCAAACCCATAAACTCTGCTCAGTGTTTAGTCACCTCCGGCAGCCAAATAATGAATAATGGATTAATTTTTAGCTCACGGGATGTGCACTTTATACTTTTAGCAGCATGGCTTCTTCGCAGGAAAATAAAAAGAGAGCAGATGGCGAAGCTTGCAGGTCTTTAAACGAAGCTTTCTGCGCTTTGCAGATTTAAAACCTCCCTTAAAATGGATGCGCCACAATTTTCTTTTATCTAAAATGGATTCTAAAGGTTTGTCATTGCTAAGGTAACTGTAAATGGATGGCCAAGTATGAAAAGTACTGTTACGTTACGTTATTGAGATGGACGTTTGTTAAAAAGTCAGTGTGGTGCGTAAGCAGTGAGTGGGCTCGGCCCGCATGGGGGTCTTACAAAAGGACAGGATGTTGTTGATTTGTACCAAAACCCTACTGAGGGAATTACTGTAAATTGCCTTCATCCCGCCGTCTGCTGTTCCTACCGCCTTGTCCCGCTCCCACGGACACCGGCTACGAGCCGCTTAACTGCTGCCAAAGGACGACTGCCGGTTATTGAACTGAAAAAATAAAATAATTAAAACGGTAGTAACGCAACAAATGATGAGATCTGTAGTAAAGAACATTCTAAGTGAAGTAATTCTTTAGTGTTGTGAATGACCTGCATCGAAGGCAAATGCAGAATGCATATCAGTTTTGTGAGACGTTAATTGTTTATTCTGTATAAATCATTTTGTCTTGGGGTCGGCAGACTCGGACAGTCTTTGCCATAGTCCGGTATCCCGGTTCTGTCTACACTCTACAGGATGTCTCCTTCCTTTATGCCCTTGAGCAAAGTAGGAAACCTGAAAATGCAGGTGCCCGAAATGCTGGTGTTTTTTGTGTGTGTCCGTGAGGTTCCCAGACTCCCTCCCCCACAATTACACGTGTCGGGTTGTATAACCCCCCCCCCATAGGACCACAGTGCGAGTTGGTGTGGCCGGGAAAGAGAGAAACGTTATTACACACGAGTGCTTTGTCTTAATCCCGTGAGTTATGTGGCTGTCCTGTGTAGATTGGTACGGACCAGCGGTCCTGCAGAAACCAGCCTGATGTCGGCTGTGCCTGTCCCGAGACCCGCGCAGACTGGTGAACACCAGGCACAGCTACCGAACTGACTGGATTTTCAGGTCTCGCAGAGCCGTCCTGGGATCAGGGGTGTTGCAGGGTAGTGAAAGGGTAGGAAGGAAGCGAGAGCAATAGGGGCATCAAGAGGGGCAAAAGAACAAAGAGCACAATAAGGGCCACGGCGCGCCTCAGCCCTGCCCTTACAGGTAGGCTTAGGGGGGGACTGAGACATGGCTTCCTGTGGAGCCCTGTAATCAGCCAGCGCCGACTGAGCGCGCTCCTCAGGCCCTGTTTACTGTATGCCGCCCCCATTCCGCTGCCCCGCTTGCCCCTGTGTTTTTCTGAGACAGAGAACATGACCAAGAATGTGTCATGCAGGAATGGAACTGCGTATTACAACCACCTCCAAATGTTATTGGGAAAGCAAACAGGTGGAAATGTTGGTCAGACCTCAGCATGGATATTCCTGCCATTAATTATGCAGTAATGCTAATGCATTCAGATAAAATGGTGACTTGGGGAAAATTGTGATGAGACATTGACTGGGAAATATTCAACTGCAGCCCTATGAACTGCTATGTTTCTGCCAGGGCTGAACATGCAGCTTGCAGATAAATATATGCATGTAGAATATGCAGATATGGGCAGAGTGATGTTGTCTAACGGGCTCATGTGCGCATTTTAGAGATGTACAACAATTGTTGGTGAGCAGCCCCCGCGGCCGTGGTCATCCTGGTGAAGGTGGTGATCAGATGTCGGTATAGATGTCATCCTCTTAATGTAGTTGGTGTTCTGGTGATGTAGGGGGGCATTTTGGTGTTTCAGGCTGGAGCTGTACTTAGTGCCGGAAATCAGGGGGCATCAGCGTGTGCAGGGAGGTGCAGTGATCAAGGGTGACAAATCACAAGCAGAAATCAGTCCTGCTCCAAACCTGCTATGTACAACTGGTTCTGGGCGCGTGAGTGCGTGTGTGCGTGAGTGCGTGTGTGCGTGACTGTGTCTGTGTCTGTGTGCGTGACTGTGTCTGTGTCCGTGACTGTGTCCGTGTGCGTGACTGTGTCCGTGTGCGTGACTGTGTCCGTGTGCGTGACTGACTGTGTCTGTGTGCGTGACTGTGTCCGTGACTGTGTCTGTGTGCGTGACTGTGTCTGTGACTGTGTCTGTGTGCGTGACTGTGTCTGTGACTGTGTCTGTGTGCGTCACTGTGATCATGTGTGACCGTGTGCGTGGCTGTGTGTGTGTGTGTTGACTGAGTGTGCGTGACTGTGTGTGCGTGTTGACTGAGTGTGCGTGACAGTGATCAGATGTTTTGGCACTTTACATGCTTCCATATGTGATGCAGTTTTACTGAAGGCGGGAAAATGTGATGCATAAACAGAGCTTTGAGTGTCGGTGAGTGCAATGGCGCACAGAATAAAGCGGCACTTATAATGCGGACGTGAGTCACTCTGCGTATGTTTGGGGAAAGACCCCAGTAAGGAGCCTTCCTAAGAGGTGCTGAGCTTTATCTGTACATGGCTGTGACATTGTTTAAAATGGGATAGACCATGCTGCCCTCTACACACTCTTCTGTTTGCAGGAGAGACAAAGGAAAGTGCTTTTTCAGCAGATCGTCAGAGGTGGCATGTAACAGCTATCTTTTAATCAGACAGAGACATCAGAGCACCCTGGCTCTTTGGTAATAATCATCCCAGGAAGTGTGTGTCTGATCAGATCAAAGGGTCCCCCCCACCCCCCGATTCTTATCATGTTTCTGTGTCCTTAGTTTTCACAATTACCCATTTTCAGATTCTGTTCCTCCAGTTTGCACCTCCCCATTAAGACAATGCAGAGAAGAGGCTGTGGCCACAGCTGATTGGCTCTTATTCCAGTGTAAACGCGGATGCGGATTGGCCCTTAATCTCTTCTGTCCCTTGACGGCAGTCCGGGCCCTTTAAAGCAACGCGTATTCAGAGACTCTTCTAATCGGTTTGCGTTTGCACTTTGATCATAAACAATAGCAACATCAGCCCAAAATAAACACTATTTCACTGAGTAGTTTCCCTGCTGAATTTCAGCCTAGTTGCGCCTAATTAAGTTATATGTCATGTAGAGTTATATTATGGCGAAATCAGACATTGAGTGAGGTACAGCTGCTGTTTTATCAGCTAGCGATTATAGGCCTGGCTATTCCCAGTGCATTCCTGGTGTCGTGTCAAGGAATTTCTGGGGAGCACAAATTCTTGGGGCCCTGTGGAGGTGGGGGGCGCGGGGGTCTCCTTGATTGAAGCCCCTGGTCCCTTCCTGTGGCGGTGTGGAAGGCTGGGGGGTCTGCCTCCGCTTTAAAGGAGAGGACGACCTCTGACCCAACTTGGGGTTCTGGGTGAACTCTGTCCACTGGCATGCCCTTTAACGAGGCGTGCCCCAAGGCTGCAGTTCTCCCGCGCGTCGCGTGCATTCTCCGCATTCCGCCCGCCGCCCCGCGCACATTTCATTAGTGGTTGAGGCCCGGCCCCTCGCTGGATCCCTCACAGTGTAGCTGACACAAGGGTGTCTTCCAGTCACCATGATGGTCAGACTTAAATGCCCTGTTCCTTTCGCCTGTCATTACATGTGCATCCTGGGGCACAAAAACGCTTTGATCCTTTGATGCCCTGAATTCCCTTCTGTCATGTGCTGGCTGGTCACCTGATCAGCTCACGTGTGGTCCAGCTGACCCTAACCTTAGCCATAACCTTATAGTGGTCATTGTACCACAGATCAGGAAAAGACACAACCCAGCAAGAACGCCAATGTATAGAAGTGCGAGAAGTGCGTTCTGCGTTTATGTGTTGGGGAGGGGTCTTGGCGTAGTTGAGTGTCTTGGGTGGGGGGGAGTGCACCTAGCTCAGAGCTTCCTGGAGAGTCATGGTGGCTGTCCCTGCCCTTGTCTTTGTCCCTGTCTCTGTCCTTGTCTTTGTCTCTGTCCCTGTCCCTGTCTCTGTCCCTGTCCCTGTCCTTGTCTTTGTCTTTGTCCCTGTCCCTGTCTTTGTCCCTGTCTCTGTCCCTGTCCTTGTATTTGTCCCTGTCTCTGTCCCTGTCCTTGTATTTGTCCCTGTCCCTGTCTCTCTCCCTGTCTCTCAGCCTTGTGCTCGTCACTCGTTTTCATGACCTCACGCATTTTCAGTTTATCACGTTTCCCCGGTGGAGCAGGTCCCCCCCTGCCCTGCGGCACTCCCCTGGCCCGGAAGGAAGAGGAGGGAAATGCTGACTGGCCTCCACCTTCGTCAGCA